CTACCCCCACCCCCACCCTCACCCTCACCCCCCCGACCCTCCTCCAGCCTGCTGCAGCTAACATCTGAAGCCATGCATGACACAAGTTAAGGTACGTTTGCATCTCTGGTTTGAGGGACACATGGAGGAGGGGGAGGAGCAGGAGGAAGAGGAGGAGGAGGAGGAGGCCCTGGTCCCGTTGGCAGGATCAGGATCTCAGCTGGTCTGTTACAGCCGGGCTGAGACTCTGTGGATTCGGGGAGAACACTGTATGTTACTCATCAGTGACACATCAGATCAGAAACAGTTGTGCATCAGTGTCAGTTGTTGCAGTGAAGTGATTATGAAGCAGACGAGAGCAGAGAGTCTGAATCCAGCCATTGTCTTTCACTGGTTGTTTGCCTGAGCTTCACATGTTCCTCATTAGGAGCCTGAGCAGACAGGATGCAGCGAAGACAGAGGAATGGATCAGATGTCCGTCTCACTGCCTCCCAGTGTCACCGTGACAATAATCTCACAAAAAACACACACAAAAAACACACACAAAAAAGTAAAGGTGCTTTGCTCGTCTGGGGTTAAACTGTTTTGGTTTTAACTCCTGGGAAATGTACAACGTGTGTTTCTGTGTGGGAGGAACTGGTACCGACTGTTGGATGCTGTGGGTATTTATGGAACCTGTGTGTGTGTGTGTGTGTGTGTGTTTGATTCTGACGTTTGAACACACCAACCAACGTGTTTCCTCACAGTGCACGTTACAGTTTGCGTGGTTAGTTTCCCTCTATATTTTATCATGTTTCCTCCTGTGCCGGTTTCTGACCACATCCTGCCCAGAACACCTACCACAGCCCCCTGGTACAGCCCCCTGGTACAGCCCCCTGGTACAGCCCCCTGGTACAGCCCCCTGGTACAGTCACCTGGTACATACCAGCCGTGGTCTGACTGACACCAGGACTGGGCTGGGCCAACACTGACATGTCTGATATTCTCTTTTCTCTACATGAACCTGATCCTGACCCTGATCCTGACCCTGACCCTGACCTTAAAGACCACGTCTCCACTGTCGGACCACTGGCTCAGCAGATCCTAGATAAGGAGGAGGACATCGATGTTCTCCAGGAGAATCACCAGAGTCTGAACCACATAATAACGTCCAGTTGAAAGACTCTCCCCCCGTGACCATGGCTGCGACCGCGGCTCGGACACCCAGCGGTCTGGTCTCAGCTTCGGCCAGGACCACCACCGTCCCGTTTCTCTCCACAGACACCAGAGAAAACCTCACCTCCAGAACAACATTAATGACTGTCAGCATAAGGACAAACGAGAGCTTCTTCAACACCACCACGTATCCTGAGGTGGTGATCGAGGGCTCTGGAGTGGGAATGGTTCTGGTCCCCTTTGGAATCCTGACCCTCATCGGTTTGGCTGTGGCCATAGTAAGGAAGTCAAACCTTTGACTCTTTTCTCACACATCATTATTCCCATTATTTTAACCGTGTGTTTTGTTGCTCCTCTGTTTTTCCAGATGCTGTATATTCGCAAACGGAAGCGGTGAGTTGTTAATTATCATCCTTTAAAAAAAACCAAACACCTGTTATCAAGTTCATTCTAAAGATTCAGACACAAAACGATAAAACCCACATACATGAGGTGGACATCGCTGTGACCTCTGACCTACAGCTGTGTGGCTCGAAAAAACGATGGTTTTTTTCTTTGCTGATTCACGTAATAAACAGTAAACAGTAAATACGTAAAAGTGTTATTTTAAGCTACGATAGTTTGGATAAGTCACACACCTGCTCCTACGTTCTGATCAGTCTGGTCTGTTGTCCCGTCTGTGGTCCCGTCTGTGGTCCCGTCTGTGGTCCCGTAGGCTGGAGAAGCTGAGGCATCAGCTCATGCCCATGTACAACTTTGACCCGGGTGAAGAACAAGACGATCTGCTTGAACAGGAACTCCTGGACCACGGTCGAGACGGCAGCCTCTCAGGCCCCAACAGCAAGGTAGTCATGACGACGTCAACCACACAGTTCATCCAACATCAGTCGACCAGGGGTTAATGACGGTAGACAGGACGTCAGACTTTTCAACCACTGACAACCAAACACGAAAAAGAAAAAAGTTGACTGTTGTTCACTGACTCTAGGTGGCGTTGGTGCAAATCAAATTTAAGGAAAAATGATTTTACAATTTATACAACAAACTCACACCTTATGACAATATATATGGATATACATGTATTTATATACATATATATTTATATGCATGTCTTTATGTATATATGTACATGTATTTTAATTATTTACTATTTATATTTAACCAGGGTGAATAAAGTCCGTCAGTGAAAACATTACTGATATAAAGTTTTAAAAATTCTGATTTTCATTTTTACAAACTTTGTAAATTAAATGTATTGTTTTACGTTCTTTCAGTTGTCTGATGATTTGGATGAATTTCTTTACTCATGTTTGCATTTTTTTTTTCTTTCATTTCTCAAAGTTTTGACATGGCCTCATGGTAAATCCTTGGTAAAGTATTTCCTCCTCCCTGAACATTTCCTCTTCCTCCGACCTCAGAACTTTACAGCATTTTCATCCTTTCAAAAAATACATAAATTATACTTAATTTATGTTGATTAAATTGCTCAGAAATGTCATCGTCCAATCACAGTCATCTTCTGTTCTTGACCACCTGACCAAATCCATCCAACCGCAGCGACTCAGTAGAAAAGTATCTTTATAAAAAACTGTATTTAATCAGTTTGAACCTGTTTCCGTCCTTCTTTCTTTACCGATAGTTTAGTCAACAAATTCACCTCATCATCACTCAGTGTCACACGGTCTTTTTCTCCTCATGTCCTGCAGACGCTCACAACCTCCCAAGGAACCACACAGCGGCCCAGTCGTCTGGTCTTCACAGACGTGGCCAAGGCGCTCAACGCCTGAAGCAGATTCATCCAATCATCCATCTGAGTTTACAGAGACGGCTCGTCTCACGGAGGGACGGCTCGTCTCACGGAGGGGCGGCCCGCCCCCCACTGGACACGAACCACTGAATATAGAACATTTACTGTGTCTTCTAGTTGAAGGAGAAGATCGCACACTGTACGGTTTTGCACCTCCGTCTCCTGGGACTTTTCTGATAATCTAACTGTGTCTTTGTTGTCCCCATGTCTGGTCTGTAAAGTTTTTCTCTTCTCAAACTTGAAAACCTCTTGTCATTATTATTATTGTTCTCTTCACTGAAGTCCACCAGGGGGGGCTGATCCTCCCTCTGAGTATTGAAACACCCCAGAGTTTTTGCCTACAAAAAAAAAAGTTCTAAATCGTGACAGTTGTGGGGGTGATATTTTATTGATACGCGATAAAGAAGCAGAATAACATACAATCACATGGTAAAGAATCTTAACAAAATATATATCACAGGTTTGTGAGTTCCATTTTCAGAGTGGACGAGGACACGTCAATAATATCACTACAAAATGATGAGAGACAAGTAAGGCATAAAAACAGGATTTGTCAAGTTACACTTCAACTCTTTCATAGTTGAAAAGTGATCAAGTACTGTATGGAACTCTACCAGTGAGATAACGTAGACAAGTCGACCCCAGAGAGAGAGAGAGTAAATATGCAGCTGGTGTAAAAACCACAAACACTGACTCAGTCGTCCTCAGTTCACAGTCGGATTCTCTGACCGTTCGAGGACCAGGAGAGCGGACTACGACAGTATGGGTCTGGGGTCAGTTCAAGGTTTCATTCACGTGGCCTGGGGGTCTGACGGAGACCCGGGCTGGTTGGTTCTACAGAGGTAGTCCAGAGGGTAAACAACAACAGGCAGTAAAGTCAACGCAGCTGAACCAGGAAACGGAGTCAGGACGCGGACCAGCCCCGCTCCTCTGGCAACGACGCCGTAGTACAGGAAGTTACTGGGATACAACAGCAACGATCGTCGTCGTTATCAGTGATAACATAAGATCTGATGAATAAACACTGGATATATTTATATATATTTTTATATACAGTAAATGACGGGTCATATTCAAGTCAGGTCAAAACAATGAGTAGGTGATATGTAGTCCAGGGCCTGATACCAACATACAGTCACAGTGACACAGGTGAGGATCCCAACACACACACACACACACACACACACACACACTGACATTAGCTGTATTTATATCTATAAAAGGGTCAAAAGTTCTAAAATGTTTAAACACATGTATTTCCAAACAAATCCTCTATTAAGACTCAAGTCAAAACTTAGAACTTTTTGAACGACCTGTATGTATGTGTACATATATGTGTATAACCCAGACGGACATTTTGTTTTTGTTTATTTGTTTACTTTAGTTCGTGGAACATTTCCTAACAGGTGACGGTTCGGACTAAACTAGAGAAAATGAATCAGGTAAAAACAAACATTCAAGCTTCTCATCGACCGTCCACAAAACCAGGTGGCAGAAATGTGCGTGTGAAAATCTGACAATTAAAGAGAAATATTTTGACATGTACCATTGGATTTGTGTGAATTCAGACTCTAAAATATCAACACAGTTTAACCTGACTGGTTGTTTCAGGACAGGAGGTAAAGTCCAACATTCTCTAGTTAAAAAAAAATCAATGTTTTTTTTTTTTACCAGTAAAATATGAATCTCTAACACCGACCGTTTGAGAAACCGCTGCAGACTAAAATATACCACGACGTAATTCACTTTTAATCAGGCAAACGATAAACTGTGAGTCTCACAGTAACATGGGCACAGACAACACTGTCTGAAAGGTCGAAGGTCACACACATTCAGCAGTGCTTTCAGCACGCCCACTGTTGCTGCCTCTGGTGGACACTCCTGTTATACCGACTTTGTTATTATCTCGTTAACCGCTAACCCACCAGTCGACCGACCTCACGTTTTGTCACATGATTGACACATGATTGACACATGATTGACACATGATTGACACCTGTCCCGTCGTTATGATTACACTGCAGGTACATGAATAAAAACTTTGCTCATTTTAAACAACGTGAATGACATACTGTAGTTGAAGACTGTAGGTTTGTGTACCTGTTCAGTAAAGATTTAGTGACCATAACTAGGGATATCCCATAATAACTTTTTTGCCGATATTCGATATTGTCCGAACACTTAATTTCCGATTCCAACATCAACCAATACCAATATAGACCTGGTAATATTTATTCATTTATTTATCTGTACGAACCACTGTACAATCCCGATAATAAAATAGATTAATAAAATGAGCTGCAATGCTGCCATCTAGTGGCTTTCACTTTAATATGCAGCCGTTTATCATCAAAACTATTTTTAGGGCACACGTCATTTGACATTACGTTATTGGGTTTTCATTATTGGAGAAAGAACCGATAACGATTCTTACAGATATCACATAATGATGCTAACATTGGTCGGGCGATATTATCGGACATCCCTAATAATAACCATCAGTCGTTTTACTGCTGTGTATTAGAGAAGTGTGGCGTCAAGTGCTGCGAGTGTCGCGCATACTTTTTACAGTGTATGGATCTGAAAGTACACGATGTCAAAACAATAAGAAACGACCCGAAAGACAAACAAACAACATTTAAAAAACAAACTTATATATATATATATATATAAAGTGAACTAAGCTAAAAGAAGCAAGTATTTGATCAGGTTGTTGTAAACTACTGTCTGCATTTTTTTTAAATCTTCCTGCAGAACAACAAGTCTCACTTCATCTGCTGCAGAGTCCACAGAGATGATTTGGTTTGAATCTTCAACCTGTGTGTGTGTGTACCTCTGCAGGTGTGTGTGTGTGTGTGCGTGTGTAAATATATATGTTCGGTGGTTCTGCTGAGGGAGTGGAGAATCACTGTGACCTTTGACCTGTGTGTGTTACTGAGGTAGAATGAGAGACTGAGGAAAACTGAGGTCTTTGTGTCAAGGCATTTCACCATTAATGTGAAAAACAGAAATTCACAACAAACACAGCACAACAATTATCTAGACTGAGTCGACCCACGACATGTTCCTGAATAGTTCTGTACCTGAGGTTTCAATATTTTGTAAAAAGCACTGTAAGTGAAATCCTGAGTGTGGTTAAAATGACAGACTATATGACATACATATATATATGTAAATATATATGTTCGTTGATCAAACCAAAAAGTCCAAAATGACATATCCATATAAAACGTTTTTTTTTTTTTTTAACGACAGCTAAATTCAGCTACTGCAGTGATGGAAGGAAAGGAATGGTGTTCACTGAAACGACCTGAACTCAGTCCAACGCAGAGGAAACGACCGCTCATGTTGGATATTTCACTTTGGATTAAAAACGTTTTTTTTTTCATCTACTTTCATCACAATGACTTCAGCGCACATTTTTACTGTAACAATGTTCAAACGTCGCCGTCTCGCTCCCGTTTCATTGGAGGATTCATGACACGTTAGTGAGAAACGCCGTTCAATTCAACTGTTTTCCCTCAACACCCCCCCCCTCTTTATCAGCCTGTGAACCTGCCCCCCTGCCCCTCTGCCCACTCACACACACACGTAGCCTCCGACTGAGACGCTCCAATCAGGAAAACTACTCCAACAGCTCCTTCACACTGCACGTCCACACCTTAAAGGGAGGCGTGTGATTGGTCGACCTCGAGGGACTGAGCACACCTGTGTTCAACTCTGAACTTCTGGTTTCGGTGCCGTTACCTTTAAATGTTAATGAGCCACTGCAGGCTCCGCCCACTTGGCTAACTGTGGTCTGACTCCAGAGGTTTGAGCCGCAGTCAGACCCAGAAGAAGAAGAAGAAGAAGAAGAAGAAGAAGAAGAAGAAGAAGAAGAAGAAGAAGAAGAAGAAGAAGAAGAAGAAGAAGAAGAAGAAGAAGAAGAAGAAGAAGAAGAAGAAGAAGAAGAAGAAGAAGAAGAAGAAGAAGAAGAAGAAGAAGAAGGAGAAGAAGGAGAAGAAGAAGAAGAAGAAGAACGAAGAACGAAGAACGAAGAACGAAGAAGAAGAAGAAGAAGAAGAAGAAGAAGAAGAAGAAGAAGAAGAAGAAGAAGAAGAAGAAGAAGAAGAAGAAGAAGAAGAAGAAGAAGAAGAAGAAGAAGAAGAAGAAGAAGAAGAAGAAGAAGAAGAAGAAGAAGGAGAAGAAGGAGAAGAAGAAGAAGAAGAAGAACGAAGAACGAAGAACGAAGAACGAAGAAGAAGAAGAAGAAGAAGAAGAAGAAGAAGAAGAAGAAGAAGAAGAAGAAGAAGAAGAAGAAGAAGAAGAAGAAGAAGAAGAAGAAGAAGAAGAAGAAGAAGAAGAAGAAGAAGAAGAAGAAGAAGAAGAAGAAGGAGAAGAAGGAGAAGAAGAAGAAGAAGAAGAACGAAGAACGAAGAACGAAGAACGAAGAAGAAGAAGAAGAAGAAGAAGAAGAAGAAGAAGAAGAAGAAGAAGAAGAAGAAGAAGAAGAAGAAGAAGAAGAAGAAGAAGAAGAAGAAGAAGAAGAAGAAGAAGAAGAAGAAGAAGAAGAAGAAGAAGAAGAAGGAGAAGAAGGAGAAGAAGAAGAAGAAGAAGAACGAAGAACACAGCACCAGATCATTTTTACCGTCTGACCTACTAAACCTGCAGTGAGTCAACACACACACACACACACACACACACACACACACACACACACAGAGATACAAGAATGAGTGTGAGCAGAGCAGCGCCTCCACCTGGCCGTCAGACCAAGAACTGTGAGGAAGACGACGGTTATGTCAGGAAACCAGAAGACAGGCGAAGAGAACAGTTAGCTCAGACCCCCCCCCGCCCCCCCCACCCTTCAACATTGACTCATTCTTCCCCTTCACGTGTGTGTGTCTCAACAGTTTCAGTTCTTGAAGCATCTCCACCTCTGAGAACAACTGCTGCGGCGATAAGAAAGTCGAGGGACGAGGACGAGGACGAGGACGAGGGCGAGGACGAGGGCGAGGACGAGGGCGGGGGCGGGGCCACGTCCCCCTGCTTTGGTGACAAACGTTTTGCAACGTGTTTGTTTGAAGGATATAAAAAAAGTGGATAAAGTCGCGATGGTGGACGACGTGGCCGCAGTCGACTTCACCAACGTGGAGGTAAATCTTCATGATGTAACACGTGCCATGAGGCCCTGCGAAATATGAGTCGCAGCAGCCAGCCTAGAGCGCCCTCTAGAGGCTGTCAGTGTGAAAATAACAAACATGTGAAAGTATATGTTTTAATAAATAAGTCGCACCCGAGTATCGCAAACCCAGACAAAGGATGAAAAAAAGTGCGACTTATAGTCAACATTAAAAAGTCAGAGAAATAAAAATATCAGTAGTAAAAACCATTTTCAATTTCTGTTTCTGTTCCTCAGAGAGTCTTAGCTGTGTGGCCAGAGCAGCCAATCAGGGCCAGGGTCTCTCGGCCACTGAATTCTTTTTTTTTTCTAAATGAAATTAAAACCTAAATGTTTCTTTTTTCTCACCTGCTGCTCCTCAGTTACTTCTTGAACCACTTTCCGAGGCTGCAGAGACACAGAAGAAGAAGAAGAAGAAGAAACCTGTCAGTCGTTACGTTCATCGTCCACAAACATGTCGACTGTCACTGATTGGTCCATACCCATTTCCTCGGTCGTCCACGTGGCCGTCGCTCCCCGACAGGCTCGACTTTCTGATGCAGAACAGAGGAGAGGTCAGAGTGTGTGTGTGTGTGTGTGTGTGTTTATACACATGAACACTAATGACACACTGTGGTTTAGCGTGACTTCACTGTTGAAAACTAATGTTGGGGTCAAAAGGTCACAGCACCTGTGGATTCACTCACCAGGAAAATGACAAAACATTTTCACTTTTCATCAAATTAAAATAAAATCTGATCAAATCCAAAGGTGGAAACCACTGCTAAATGTCCATGATCTTCCAGCTCGAGGTGTGTGTGTGTTGTGGGAGGAGCTAATGTTATTTGTTGTTGTTAAAGATAATAAACAACTCAACTCAGTAAATAACTTTAAATCCACGCAGGGACGAACGGGTGGAAGTGGACGCCCTGGTGGTGGAAACAGACAACTGACACAACCGTGGGAGGCGTGTGATGATCCGACACGTCACGTGAGGGCAGTCGTCCGTCTGAACTTGCTCAAAGGCTCTGGGGCATTAGTTTGACGGTGGTGATGTTGAGGTGACGTTAGCGTAGCTTTCTGCTCAGGATTCAACACCGACACCTGTTCTGTTTCTGTTGTTTCTCTCTGTTTCACCTGAGCTTCAGTCTGATCTAATCCCTGAAGGACACGGACGTCAGTGACCAGGTCAATGACTGGGTCAGTGACTGGGTCAGTGACTCGGTCAGTGTCTGTGTCAGTCCCTGTGTCAGTGCCTGGGTCAGTGTCTGTGTCAGTGTCTGTGTCAGTGACTGTGTCAGTGTCAGTGTCTGTGTCAGTGACCATGTCAGTGACCGTGTCAGTGCCTGTGTCAGTGGCTGTGTCAGTGACTGTGTCAGTGTCTGTGTCAGTGACTGTGTCAGTGCCCGGGTCAGTCCCTGTGTCAGTGACTGTGTCAGTGTCTGTGTCAGTGGCTGTGTCCGGGGCCGGGTCACGGGATGGGGTCGGGGGGTGTCTGTGTCAGAGTCTGTGTCAGTGCCTGTGTCAGTGACTGTGTCAGTGCCTGTGTCAGATTCAAACACAAATGTCAACCTTTGTCCTCTGGCCCTTGTTCTTGCTGCCTTTAGGACGTCCTCGAGGTCTTTTTGGAGCCGGGGGTCCAACAGGCTCCTGAAGAGAGACCACCAGAAGACCGACATTAGTCCGTCGGCCACGACACAGACTACGACTCAGATGTGGTCAAAGCTCCGGAGCATCCTCTCTAAGTTGTACCTGCTGCTGTTTCCTGGGCCGACCCCTCCCCCGGCGCGGGGGCTCGGGGGCTGACTGGGCAGCGCTGGACTCGGGGGACGGCTCTTTGGTCCCACTGCTACTCATGCCTGCGTCTGTCCACCTGCTGGAGAGAGTGTGGGCATTCACGCCTGGAGCAGCGGCCTCGTGGGCTGGAGGTGGAGACGACCTGAGAGCGAGAAGAAAAGAGGAGAGACGTGAGTGGACGGATGAAGCGGGAGCAGCAGGTCACTGCAGTGGACACTGGAAACCAGACCAGAGTCTTTTCCAGGAGTGAGCGTGGGAACTGCTTCTACACACGCTTTGGCAGCAGGTCGGTCGGACGCAGACAGACTCCTGGCAAACGTGCAGTAACATGAGATCGGTGAGCAGCGACTAAAAGTAGCACAGATATTCACAACGCAATCCACCGTCCCAGATCTGGAGCGACTGTCCTCAGGTCTGAGCTGCCACGGTGCAGATGTTCAACAGGAGTCATGTTAAAACCCCAGACACAGAGGCAGAAATCAGGAATATCACGAAGAAATCTGCTGCAAAGTCAGGTTTATTTTCACTAAATCAAACTGAACAAACTAACAAAAACAACCTTGATAACAAAAATGTATTTTTATTTCACTACTGTCAACTTTACTGCTCACTATTAAAGAGTTTAAATCTGTTTAAATATACGTTATTTAATTTCATATATACATTAATGATAATAATTTATTACAGAACTCCAAAAAAAATCTTTATGAGATGATGCTTGGTTGACGCAAAATAAAAAAAATATAAATACTTTTTTTAAGCGTTTTGAGGATTTAGACCAAATTAACAGAATAAATCCTTCATATCATTTTAATTCTATGATAAATAATCAGAAATAAATTTACATCAATATAACATTTCAAACACAAACATGTGGTGACGACGACAACTAAATAATTAACAAATTGGTAAAAACCAGTGCAAACAGAAGATAAAAAATCTTATCAAACATTTATAATAAATCAAAATTATCCTTAAATCATTTACTTAAAACTTACTTTACTTAAAAATAAGTTGTTTGTATTTTACAAATCTGTCAAAGTTGAACCATTAAAGAAATATTCCCGCCGTTCAGTCATTAAAATATTTGGTTAAACAATTAGTCCCAGTTTGAGTCAGCAGTTGTTGTACATGTACTAGTGGTTAACCAGCAGCGTTAACCAGCAGCGTTAACCAGCAGCGTTAACCAGCAGCGTTAACCTTCTGTACAAATGTCCACGGGACGTTTCTCTGTCTCTCCTCTGTTGACATGAGGACAGTCAGGGACAAACCACCGTCTCCCTCTGTTCCTAAATGTCCCACGGTGACCGTGAACCACATTAACGCCTGCAGCTCTGGAGCAGCGGGAGCAGAAATGTGCCAAACACTAATTGCCAACACAGCCTATCAAGAACGGACGCACCGAAGCAGGAAGTCGGAATAATTTCAGGAAAAACACCGTCTTCGTTCACGGGTTGAAGCCGAAGCAGTTTTTTTTTTTTCTTTCTCAAACTCCTCGCACACCGAGCGTCGCTGCACCGATGTGTGTGCTGCTCTGCAGGACGGGACTGAATGTACTTTCTGCATATGGGCGGCTGTTGCAGCCATAAAAACACGGTGGTTCGCTGCCGCTAACGACGCCGCGCACGGCGCGTCTGCAGCGCTAAAAGCCCAGGATTCAAACTCTTCACACGCTGGGCGTTCAGTGAGTGTCACATGTGGACGAGCAGGACACGAGTGGACACAGAGAGTTTAAAAAGTATATAAGGTCGACACACACACACACACACACACACAGAGACAGATCATAACGCTGCTCCCATCACTTGCGCAATCCGTGTTAAATGTGGAGTTTTCCGGGGCAGGAGAACCGGTCCCCGCGAACCGGACGAACCCCCGCAGCCGAGGAACGAACTTTAACGACAACAAACTAAACCGAGAGTCACGCAGGTGCAGAAGCTTCTCTACACACACAACCTGCAAACACACACACACATACATTCAGCCTATAGGCTCCATGTTGAGGCCGGGAGTCGAGGCGTCCGTGCAGCAGCAGCAGCAGCAGCAGCTGCAGCAGCAGCAGCAGCAGCAGACGAGCTCACCTCTGAAGATCTCGGACTTACCTTCAAGTTTGCAGTTTCACCTGGAAGTTCTCACCGTCGCTTCACTTTCAGCTCCTGCACAAACTCTGAAAATCTCACTCCAGCCACCGTCTCATTGGCTGAAACCTCTCTCTCTCTCTCTCCCTCTCTCTCTCTCTCCTTCCTCCTCTAATCGGAAATGTGTGTGTGTGTGTGTGTGTGTGATCCCCCCCCCCAGACGTCCAGTCACGAATACCCCAGTTGCAGTACAATGGGGGGTTGTAGCAGAGCAGTATGCATTGCATACTTTCTCTATTAAAGCATGTTTCAAGAAAGAACCAAAGAAGGGGGAGGGGTCAATAAATCTGAACCCCGCCCCCCCCCCAAAAAACTTACATAC